TTCATCAGCAGATGCTTTGAATAAGCACAGCTATACATACTTGACAATTACGCTTGCATATTACATTACTAAACCTTTTAAAGTTTCTGACGTATTCAACTTTGCATAGACTACCTACATTTAAGACCTATCATTGCCTGTTTACCTTGACCTGTACGCCTCTGCGCAGACAAGCACATGTGATTCTAAACAAAGTGCATTAAGCTTGCACTCACGTTATCTGCAGTTCTGATAAGCAAGCCTCTGCGAAGGCCATACACGCATTCTAGTTCATATGTTCTGACCATCTGGACCCCGACATGCTCACAGGGCACTCCAGTTACAGTCAGCCTTACGATTCTAACTCCCCAAGTTTTCGTCCCATGGTATGTCCTCTCTCACTAACCTTCCCTCTTAGTTAGCTGTGGCTGGCTGTCAGGTTCCCAAACCAGTTCCACAGAGTCCACTATCCTGGAGATAATTGGCTTAACTGGGTGTTTTAAGCCAGCTATCTCTAGGTACAGAAAATATCTCCATTCACAACAACAGCAAAAATACACAAAAATTCATAACTCCTATCATACTGAACAGAACCCCCACATTCAACCTATCCCCAGATGGCTTGGATCTGAGCGCTCAATATATCCAAACAGCGCTCAGATCCCACAAATACAGTCAAATCGCCATACACACTAGGTCCATAGTCATGGGGCAGAAGGCTGGCAATTAGGCTTCTCCATAACACAGGGAAGCAGGGCAATTTGTCAAATAAAATAACAGTTACAAATGGCAGTTTGTAACACGTACATATAGTGACTGCTTCCAGATTTATTAATTACAGAGTATACTATTTATTACTTGACAACCCAGTACATTGAGTTCTAGATTACCATACGTTAACGTCAATTATACAATGCAATACAGGTTAAAGAATTAACAAATCTAATAAAAACGGGGTAAACCAGAATTCCCACTTGTTTCATATCAAACATCGAGGCATCACTCGGCCTTCATTTCGACTAAACGAATACAATTCAAATCCTTAACAGCTAATAGGGACTTGTCTCTGCATGCTGGACATTCGTAAGGTTTTCCATGCGCATTCAATCATTCGTTACGCTATTTAATATTACATACACTGTTATTTACGTTTCAAGAAGTCCATCAGGATTGACTTTCGGTCATGCTATCTGTTTTTGTCTAAGAAGTTACACCTATAGGCATCTTATAATACAGACAATTTACGATCCCAAGCCTATCAAGTAAAGTAATCATAAGGGTATTTATTATACGACACATCTTTAAGTTTAAACCACAATC